ATAGTATAGTTCACTTTCAAAGAATAAATATAAGAAATTAATAGTCACTGAGGATTTAGAAGTCAATAATTAATTTTCTACTAGAGACCTATCCTAGCTCTTACCACAAATACCTTTGACTCTTATTTCAATGAGTCATTCTCCCTTTCTGACAATCTCAGAAGTTTAGCACATCTTTGCAAAAAATTCATCATCGGAAGTTGAAAATTCAGAGGTAGCATTCAAAACTGGCTTCAGATGGCATTCAGTAAAGTTAGAAATAACCACACATTTCTGACTTCATACAGTGTTGGGCTCTTCTAGTTGTGACATGAGACGAAGAAAATTCTAGTGCCCAGAATTCTTGTGAAACATATTCTGGATTTCTGGATGCATGTGTCAAAAACACATGCTGGGATTGTATGTGATAGTTTAATCATGTCTTCTCAGGAGGGCACGTCTTAGAAACCAGAGGTCCCTTTCCATTATGATTAATGAAAAATTTTGATGGATATAGGATTGTGTGTGCGCAGGAGAAATTAAACAAAGATAAATGTTTTGTACAATTAAAAAGGAAACATTTGAAACAGGAAGAATAAAACTTGTGGAAAACTCAGTCACTGAAGCTAGAGTAATATTAGGGAAGGAGTAGCAAGAGAACCCCTGTTAGTGGGGAGTTAAGTGTGGATTTTAAGGAACACGTGTATTAAGGGGTATGCTCACAAATGTTTAATTTATAAAAATATCAAACTATTAGAAAAGTTGCAAGAATATTACAAACTGACATACCCATTACACATACTTTTAGAGATGGAATATATTTTTACATACATATTCATTCATATTTTGTGTATAGCTGGAAAGATAAAAAATATAGAAAGATGTATGTTAGTGTCTTTCAGTACTTTGAAAGTTGGTTGTAAACATCATAAAGCTTTACTACTCATGACTTTGGCGTGTTTCTTCCAAAACTGAGGACATGTACCATGTGACTACCCTGTTGTGATCCCACTCAGGAACATAAATTTAATAACATTCAGTCCAGATTCCAATTTTCCCATTGTCCTAAAAAAAAGTCTTATAATTTTTAAATTTAGGACTTGGGGGATAGCTCAAGGGGCGGGAGCACATAGTTGGTATGCTGGCACCCCAGGTTTGGTCCCCAGCACTGAGAGTCCTCTGAAACACCACTGGGAATGACCCCCAAATATTTGGCAGGGAGAAGCCTCCAGCACTGCTGGGTGTGGCCCAGAAAAAAACCCAAAAATATCAATAAGTTTTTTATTTGCTTGTCACGTTCAACATAAATGTCTTTTTCATTTTCTCAACAAAATCTTCGGAAACCAACATTTCTCACTATATTTTTATGCCAGTAATTTATTTGGAATAAATTTGTAAATGCTCCATGTCTGAATTCTCAGAGAGTATAAATAGAAACACAGAGCCTGCCAGAAGAGAAGTTGAGAAGCTGGTTGACACTATAGAGCAATTGAAGCCACCACTGGAAGCAAAGGAGCTTTGTAGAGACAGCAACAGAAACACACTGAAAGCTCTTCTGATCGTGCATGCTTCCCTCTTTGTTCCAGATTCATCTTTTAACTCTGTCTCTGCAGCCTTTTGTATGTGATAAGTGTCTTGCAGTGGTTTCTATTTTTCCTGGAGCTACCAAGATATAAATAACTTGCTCACAAAGATCTTTTTCTGAAAAACAGATTTTATTTTTAGGTCAGTTTTATATATACAGAAAGACTGGAAAATGGCCCAAAGAGTGCCTACGTGATCCTTGGATGCTTTTCCTTATTATTAATGTCATACATTAGTGTGCATTTTCTGGTTCTTTTTTTTATTTTTTAAATTAAATTTTCCTATAGTGATAACAGAGGTTTTATGTAGAGTTTAAAGTGTCTGACACGTGAGATATGTAAAGATGTAAAACAAAAAGTAAGGGAATAACAAATGGCAAAAGGCAAGAGACCATAAGAACTGGTCTGCAGAAAAGGGCTTACCAGGACAAAGGGATGAGTATTGGTGGATGGTACCCTGACACAATGGTGGAGGAAAAGGAAATTCTGGTGAAGGGTAATTATTGGGTAATTTTATACATGAAGCCCTAAAATTAATAATAAATTTATAAATCATGCTTCCTCAGATAAAATAAAAATAAGCAAATGAAGTGGACAAATTCATCAATGATATCAAAATAGAATATATATACATCTCATATCTCTTCCAAGGCGATGCTTACCCTAAAATCATAAGCAGTCACCTTGAGAATGTGGCTATGTGGGCTGGAGAGATAGTAAGTGGGTAAGTGCCTTGCATTTAGCTGACTAAGTTTGATGCTCCACTCTGCATGTGATCCTATGCAGTCCTGCCAAGACTATGCCATGAGAATCTCCAGGTGTGGCCCCCAAATAAAAATGCAAACAAGAATGTTTGTATAATAGGTTGACCTTAGTTCCATCCCTAGCAGCACTTATGGTTCCCCAAGCGCTGCCAGGAGTGACCCTTCTACTTTACATCTACTTTCTTTGTGGGCAACAATGCTAGTGACCAAGGCTATAACAACTCTAAGATTTGATCTCTATCCTGAAGGAGCTAATAGAAGATATATTATCAGCCATAGTATTTTCTGATATAAGTTATTAAGAAGCCATCAAGTCAAGGTCAGCTCCAGGGGTCATCAAATCACTGAGAATTGGAAGTTTGTGTGTGCATCTGTGTGTGTGTGTGTGTGTGTGTGTGTGTGTGTGCGCGCGCGCGCCATATCTACAGGTGCTCAAGGCTTACTTCTAGCTCTGTGCTCAGTGATAACTCTTGGCAGAGCTTAGGAAACAATATGGGTGCTGAGGATCAAACCCAGGTTGGCTGTATGCAAGGCAACCATTTTAACCTGCTGAACTATATCTCTGGCCCTAGGACCAAGTTTTTTTTTTTTAAATACATCTACTTTTTACTCATCGTCCTTAGTATTTCTGCCTTATCTTCATGTCAGCTTGCCTTAGGTGACAATATCTACACGAACAGTGTCACATTCTTGTGATAACTAAAGGATAGATAAACTCTTTTTCTGTATTATGTTTTATCAGTCTCACAGTAAACCATCTGTGACCTTTAAAGACCAAAACTTTCAGGGTGGAGCTAGAAAGAGTCAGACTGTGACATAAGACAGTGGTGGAGAGTATTATTGTAACCATATTACCTAGGAATATGGTTAAAGGGAAAAAAGAAAAAGACCGTAATATCTTGAGTTCTTGCCTCTACTACTCCTGGACAAGGTGAATAGGATTACCATTGAATGGTATTAATTTTCTATAGCTGGGGCTGTTCATTTGATTCCCAAGTTTTGCGTTTAGGCCAGATGTGCTATTTAGCTAGCAGACCAATAATTGCCAGCCACTCCCCCCCCCTTTTTTTTTATATCATGGCATTTGTTATGGTAGAGGCATAAGATGATAAATCATTGTATTACTTTTTTTTTTGATGAATTCAAGAGACTTGTACTTATGACTTGCCTGAAGAAAGCTCAGTGGTCTCAGACTCAGCTCAGTTGTTCCAAGGATGAAAAAATTCCCACCAGAGCAAAACCATAGGTAGTTATGCACCTCAGTCGGGAAGCTCTGATTGGGCAAGTCACAGCCTTTTTCAAAGAGAAAATTATATGCAGCAAACCAGACATGTCTATTATTGTTAAGTATATACCAATAGGCAGAGAGACAGTCTCTAATTTTTTTTTCTTTGTGAAGCAGAATAGCTTTTATTGAAAGAAATTTAGGGAATGCGAGGGGAGAGAAAGAGGGAGACTCCGATTCATGTTCAAGAGAGATCAGACTTTTCCAGAGGGGGGAAAAAAGCCACAGTCTGAAATCTATTGTAGTTCCAGCAAGCTCTTCCCTGACGTCTTGGTGTCTTTTCAGCCTTGCTTTTTTGGTGTCTTCTTTATCAACACCATTGATAAGTAGAGTTAAGTGTTATCCGGGTTCAAATCCTCTGCCACTCATCAGCTCCTGTAACACTAGGCGAATGTTAGGAGTCTGTTTCCCGTCTAGAGAGCAGAAAACCACTACTCCGCCTACCCTCACCGCCCTTGGGATGGAGGGGCGGCCACCAAGCATTGCTCTGCAGGCCTACGGTTTATTGCGGGGGTCGGAGAATGCCCAGGCTGTTGCAGCCTTATTCCAGGAGTTCTTCAAGCCACTCAGGTGGTGCTTCCCCCGGTCTTTTTTGGGGGGTCGGGAAGAGAAGAGGGGCGAGGGGCCTCGAGAGATGCCCAGGAAGCCTGGGGTTACTTCTTAAGTTGTTGGCGAGAACCGCACGCAGTAAACCCTTCCCAAAAGCCGACCTGGGAAACTTCAACTAACTGCACTTCTGACGATGCCCCTCAGACGCTTCAATGGTGCCTCCTGGCTTCACACTCGAGTTAAAACTTGTGTCCCACTCTCACGTTCCTCGGCCAGGGCCGCTCCGCCCCGCCACTGCGCCTTATAAGGGCGGTCGGCCTCCGACAGTGTGTGTGTCCCGGTGATTGGCAAAGTCCAGCGCCTATGAGGGAGTCCAGAAGTATTTGTTTTTGTTTTGAGCAACTCGGACAAGGATTGGGCCGGAGGAGTGTGGTCAAGGCGGAGGGCGCGGCCGGCGGCGCGGAGGGGCGTGACGGCCGCGCTCTGCCCCCGCCCGATTGTCCCCCGCCGGCGCGAGCGCGGCCCGGACCCGTCCGTCCCACAGAGCGGTGGGGCGCAGCCTCCCGCCACAGCCTCCGTGTGGCGCCCCGTGACCGGCACCGGTGCCTGCCCGTCGGGGAGCCGCGCCGACGGAAGCAAGTCCGGCGGCGGCAGCGTGCCCGGGGACGACGCCTCGGCCCAGGCCCGGGCGGGGATACCCGCCCCGCCGGCGCGCCCTCAGCCCCGCGCCCGCGCAGCGCCCGGCGCCCCGGTTGTCTCCCGCCGCCGGCGGGCCCGGGAAGCTCGCGGACGTGACGCCGCCGCGGGCGGAAGTGACGTTTTCCCGCGGTTGGACGCAGCTCTCGGTTGCCGGGCGGGGGAGGGAGGGCTCGTCCGGTTTTTCTCAGGGGACGTTCACATTATTTTGGGAACGGGAGTCCGGAGAGGACGGGGCGGGCCCCGACGTGCGCGCGTCCTCCCGCCCCAGCCCCCGTCGGTCGCTCGCTGGCTCCGGCCCCGGGCGGGCGTCATGCCGCCTAAAAACCACCGAAGAGCCGCCGCCGTTGCCGCCGCCGCCGCCGCCGCCGCCGCCGAACCCCCAGCCCCGCCGCCGCCGCCTCCTCCTGAGGAGGACCCGGAGCCGGACAGCGGCCCCGAGGACCTGCCTCTGGCCAGGTGAGCGAGCGAGCGGCGGCGGGGCGCGCGGGAAGGGCGCCCCGCGGTTGCGGCGGGGCGGCGTCTCGGCGGCGGGGGCGCGTCTTCTGCGCGGGCCGGTGCGGGCGGCGCGCGAGGAGGGTCGGTCGCGGTCCCCCGCCGCGGCGGAGAGCCCGCCAGGGAGCCGGGCGCGGGGCCGAGGGCGGGCCCCGGGGAGGGGTCTGGCTTGACAGGTGTCGGGCGGGTGGGGCTCGGGTCTCCGCGAAGTGACAGGTGCCCGCCTCTGCTCGGCGGGACGCGAGGCTCGCCGGCGGCGGGGAATTTGGAGGCGCCATCAGAGGCGCGGCGGGGGGTGGCGGGCGCGCGAGTGTGTGTGTGTCTGTGTGTGTGTGTGGGGGTGTTGTAAAGTCGTGCCCGACTGCGGTGGCGACTCGGTCCCCGGCCGAGCGCGGTTGGTTTGCCTTCCCGTTTGGGTCGGGGCAGCCAATTAGAAGTGGGTCCCCGGCTGCGTGCGCGGCCGTCGGAGCCCGGTCCTGGGAGATGCCGCGGATGCTGCTGCTGCTGCTGCCGCCGCCGCGGGGACGCCATCGGCTCCGGGGCCGAGAGCTCGGGGTGTCCGTCGCCCTCTGCGCCCGCAGCCGGCGTCGGGGCGTTCGGACCTTCAGCTGCTCGCTCGAGGCCGAGGTGGACCCTAACTTTTTTTTCTTTTTGCCCCTCCCAGGAATGGGTTTATGGGCAGGAGTGGCAGCGAGACTTTAGACTCAGCGCTTAAAAGTTCCTAAACTTTTTCTTTCTTTTCTTTCTTTCTTTTCTTCTTTTTTTTTTAACCCCCTTTCTCCCTGCTGGATGAAACTCTTGCTTGTCAGTAGGTGTCAGTGAGCCTTCATTATTCTGTTTTTGGCTTTGACCTTGCAGGGGTCCTGGTGTTGCTTTTCTTTCTTATTTTGGTTTTGTGTTCGTCTGGGTCCGAGTGCATGTTTTTGTGCTCACATGGAACGCCGCCCACCCCTCCGTGGAGTCTAAATTTAAGACAGCCCGTGTGGAGGCAATAGCGCACGATAAGGAGAGCTTTCTTTTATTGCAGCATCTTTGCTCAGTTGCGAGACTTTATGCTTCAGGAGCTAAGACTGAAGGGATGTAATTGTTATTATTATTGTCAGCAACTGGCCCTGTTTTGACACTTAACATCCGTTACACTGGAATGGGAGTCCTTTCTGTCTTGAATCCCATAGTCCGCCCCCAGCCTCTCCCCCCCCCCCCCCCCCCAAATTCCCCACACACTGACAAGCATTTAGGCCAAATGGTTAAGAAAAAAGTTTTTTTTTTTTGAAATGAGGTTTTGGAAATGGCTCTTAAAAAGCTGTTATATAAATGGGCTGTATTTGGGTCAATTAAAAAATCATACTAGTCAAAAAAAAAAAAGCCTGGGAATGTCCTGGAGATGACATTCGGTTTTTATTAAAATCTGATGTGTCCACTACTTCAAAGTATATCATTATGAGAATGGGAAAGTTTGTACAGTAAATAATTTCATGCTATCCACCGAGCTTTGGAAGCATTCTAGATTATTGTAGGGTAACCAGAAATAGTGAAAGGCCGGCCATCACCTAAGAAAAAGAAGCACCTCCTTTTATTTTTCCCCTTCAACACATTAAAATGATGAAACTATTACAATTTTTTTCTTTTAGTTAAAACCATACAATATACAGTCTGCTCTTGATTATCCAAACCCACTGAAGAGTTCCGTAGCATGCGCTATAGAGCTCTACAGATAAATGACTTAGCATGGGGTAGAACCCCTCCCTGGCAATTGGGAAGCTAAAGCATTGTTTATGAGCAGTATTCAGGACCTGCTTTAACTGCCTGTTCAGCAAGAATTCATTTTTTTACATTGAATGCTGAAATTTCATTTCTGCTACATTGTCTCTGGCCTATGGGTATGTAGTGGGAAGGAAAACCACTATGGCAGCCCCCTTCCCCCTCAGAACAGCACCACCCCCTCCTTAATTGTTGAGATAACCAAAGGTTAATCATATTTTGAAGGCGGATTGGAATAGTGGTTAGGAATTTTGATTATTGAGAAATACTGTTATATCTTGTTGGATTCGTACTAAGGTTTCCCACTTTCTGGCTTTGACCAGAAGTGATTAACTTCTCTGCTTTGGTACTCACTTACAAAACAAAGATAACTAGAGTATTTACTTAATAAAACTGAGGGGTTCTAAGGCCTGTATCTTAAACTGGGTTCCAATTCCACATGGGGGTCACATAACTTAAAATTTTTTTTAAAATTACGGTTTATTGTCATTAAGCATTTTATTTGAATACTTATTTTATATACCTGTATACCTTAACATTTTTTGGTGAAAGGGTTACCAAGTGGAAAAAATTTAAGAAGTGCTGATTTAAGACCAGTTTGCAACAGAATCATGGTATTAACTTCTAACTATTCCAAAGTTATTATCTATTTTTATTAGTTAAGTTTACAGTGAGTGGAAAGGAATTAGTCAACAAGAATTTATAAATGGTTTATCTTGATTAAGAAAGATTGAGGGAAAAGGCTGAAATACAAAGTAATACTTCATGTCAAGTTAATCAGGTGAGAAATACTAGTTGGTAGAGAAGTTGTTTCTTTTTTAATTTTTCTAAATTAAAATATAAGTGCAGAGTACAGTTTTTGCGGAGTCACTGATACTGAATTGATTCGGTAATATCCGTGGCTTTCCTTTTCTTGCTGTTTCTGTTTCTAGTTCTCCAGACAGCTTTAGTTATTGTATTTTTCTTCACAAAGCTATTTTGCTACACTGAATATGTGTTGTCACCAGCCCAGGAAATATTCTTTTTTTCTTTTGGCCTATACTAGTGGTATTTTGAAGCCACTCCAGACTTAGTGCTTGGAAGCAGGGCTACTCCCAGTGGTCCTCAGGAGCTCTATGTGGGTGCTGGGGGTTGAATATGGGGATCCCACATGCAAAGACCTTTGAGTCATCTCCCCAACTATAGCAAATATTTTAGTGTTTAAAGTGATGAACTTCTGTTTAAATTCTAAGTGTAACTTTTAAGGTAAATAAGATCTTAACAATCTTTCAGAATCCTCCTTCTATATGCAAACATTTAAAACAAATATTTGAATTAGTTTGATTAAAAGCATGTGCATATTTCATCTGTATTTTCATTTGTTAGGCTTGAGTTTGAAGAAGCTGAAGATCCGGATTTTACTGCATTATGTCAGATATTAAAGATACCAGATCATGTGAGAGAAAGAGCTTGGTTAACTTGGGATAAAGTTTCATCTATGGATGGAGTATTGGTAAGGATTTTCTTAAAATTTTTAAAAACATTTTTCTCACTTAAGAAATAATTTTAAAGCACTGTAGAAATTTGGAAATTAGAAACTAGAGATAGAAAAGCTATTCATAATTCCAGTACCCAGAATAATTTACTTCTGATAATACTTAAAAAAAATCTATATAAGTTCCCTACCAAAGTATTTTGGTGCAAATCTTAGATATAGTTCATTCAAAAAAATACTTCAAAGTAAAAAGACTTAAAAATATCTACCTTATAAAATGACTTTAAATGCTATAAGTGTTCTAATTTCCTGATTGTCATGGAGTTAGTTTGTTAGAATTCCGACTCTTTGATAGTATTTTGCTAAGTTTCTTCTATATTTTTTTTGCATATGAATGAATCTACATAATTATAGTATCAGTAGTAAATGTCAGTGCTTATTTGCTGAGGGAATAAGTTCTTTACAAATAGTTCATTTAGAGTCATTGAGATGTGAGATAGGAAATATTTATTTTATGCATATTATATAATATGTAAATTCATAGATTTACATATAATATGTAATATTATCCTTTTACAGATGAAAACTCTGAAGTAGAGTGAGATTAAATAACTTGACCAAGGTCCCTGGATAATAAGATCTAAAACACAGATTTAGAAACAGTTTTATGTAGTTACGTGTAGTTTTGTGTCTTGGTCTGTAATTTTAACATGAGCAATTTTAATGGTAGTAAATATTTTTTTATACTGAATAATATAGTTTCTACCCCGGCAAGCTACCGAGAGTATTCCGCCCACATGGTACAGCCTGGTCAGCTCCCTGTGGCGTATTCCATATACCAAAAACAGTAACAAGCCTCACGATGGAGATGTTACTGGTGCCCACTGGAGCAAATCGATGAACAATGGGAGGACAGTGCTACAGTGCTACAGTAGTAATATATTTTGCCTTTTAGATGTATTTTGACATACTAGCTTTAAACTTTTTTCCCCTATCATTTTGTTGCTGTAAAAAATGCACTATAAAATATGGTGTCCTCATTCTTGTTTTGTTTTTGGTTTTTTGGGCCAAACCTGGTGATGCTCAGGGCATACTCCCGGCTCTGCAGTAGCACCAGGGATAGAACATGGATCTGCTGTGTACAAGTCAAACTCTTTACCTGATGTATTATCTCTCCTGGCCACCTTATTTTTAATTTTTTGGATGTTCTTATTCTTTAGGTTGATTAATGTTTGACACAAAGTAACCTGTGAATAATTTATTAAATTAGTGAAAGAATCTTAAATTATTGACATAAATTCTTTCAAGCTGAATTTCCAGGTCAGAACATTTATAAAACTCTAAAATTGTTATTAAATTATGCCCCAGATGATTTTAATGAATTTACATTGTCATTAGCACTGGTAATATACACATCTGTCTTTATTTTTTTCACTGATAAAGTAGTACAGCAGAGTATGTTTATATATATCCCGCAGAATATTTAAATTCTTCCCCTCCATCTATCCCAGCTACTATAGTAAAATGACATATACTGGGATGTTTATAAGCAATAAGAAATTCACTTCTCATATTTCTGGACGCTAGGAAGTTCACTATCATGATGGTGAAACATTCTGTTTCTGGTGAGGTTTTACTTCCTGATTTATAGCTTGTACCTTGTTACTTCCTTATATGGCATAGGGACTCAGTAATTCTCTTGGGCCTTTTTTATAAGGACATTAATCCCATTCATTATGTTCTGCATTTATGACCTAATCGCTTACCAAAGACTGTACCTCTAAACATTACCTCTAAACATCACATTGAACATTAGATTTTCAGTATAAGAACTTTGGGGGAAATCACAAGCATTTGTTTCATAGAATCTGGTAATGAAAAGGAGAAAACAAAAACCCCACAATTCCCAAGATCTAGAACTTACTGAAAAGCGAGGAAAACTGGAGGTGGTTTTTTTTTTTTTTTTTTTTTTTTTTTTATAAACAACTTCTGTATTCTCTTCCCAAAGTAATGTATTTCGACTGTTTTGAGTATCTCACTGTGAAACTTTCGGGAAATTCTGAAGAGGAAGCTGATTGTAGAAAGTATTGGTGACTGCGAATAGTTTGTAATGGGTATTTAGGTTTCTGTGCTACTTCACAAAACTTTTTTCACCTTATACTGATATAACAACAATAGCTTAAATTACACATTTTTGCCATCAAACTTTAATTCATGTGAAAATAAATGTCACTTTCCTTGCCTCACCTTTTCTCGTCATTTTCCCCACTTTCCCTAGGAACTGGCACAGTTTAAATCTCATATTCTTTTTTTTTTTTTTTTTTTTTTTTGCTTTTTGGGTCACACCTGGCGATGCACAGGGGTTACTCCTGGCTCATGCACTCAGGAATTACTCTTGGCGGTGCTCGGGGGACCATATGGGATGCTGGAAATCGAACCCGGGTTGGCTGTGTGCAAGGCAAACGCCCTACCCTCTGTGCTATTGCTCCAGCCCCTAAATCTCATTTTTTAATAAAACTTTCATGTACTAAGACATGTGAAATTGTTCCTAATAGCTCTGGTTTGAAGACAAAGAACTTTTATAACTTGAGAGGCTTGAGTACTCTTTTGGGCCGGGGTGGGGAGAAAGGGGGAGTATATGACAGAGGATGGTGTTGTGGTGTTGTATTGTCTGAATCGCTAAACTTTTCCTTAGAAATATTATTTTAAATGGTACTTATACTTTTGAGGATTGCACTAAGAATTTAACCTTATTTTATAAACTGTCACTGTCACTGTCCTCCCGTTGTTCATCGATTTGCTCGAGCGGGCCCAGTAACGTCTCCATTGTGAGAGTTGTTGTTACTGTGTTTGGCATATCAAATACGTCACAGATAGCTTGCCAGGCTTTGCCATGCGGGCGAGATACTCTCAGTAGCTTGCCAGGATCTCCGAGAGGGGCGGAGGAATTGAACCTGGGCCGACTGGGTCGACCATGTGCAAGGCAAACGCCTTACCCCGCTGTGCTATCGCCCCAGCCCTATTTTATAAAATAATTTCTAAAAGTGATTGTGGCGGAGCTTGTGCTGAAATATTATCTAATGACATTAATTATATTATCCTTACATTCCTTATGATGTGTATGGAGGTAGGAGTTCCCAGCAATGCTCAGGGAATTTGGGGGCCACTCCTATTTATACTTTCCCAGCTGGATGGGACAGTTCAATGTTGGGTCTGGTGATACAGTACTTTTTGGGTACAGCAGTGCTGGGGACTACCAAAGCCATTCCTTGAAGTGCTTGGAGATCTCTAAGTCTATATCTGGAGGTTCTGTGGGTAGTGTGGTACCAGGGTTCGAATTCAGAGCCTGGAGCATGCAAAGTATACACTATAGTCTTAAGATGCTTCCCAGCCACTAAAACGTATTTTCTTTCACTGTGTAGCTTTTTTTTTCTTCTTTAAGTATGTAGTTATTGTAGTTACAATTGAATATCTTCTTTGAAACAAGAGGAATGTGTTAACTCAGCGAACTCTTTTTGACGAGTGAAGAAGTTGATGTTTGTTGGAATAGAGAATGAATTAACAGCAAGAATTTATCAGACTAGACTGACTCAAGTCTAATAGTTTCATTTACTAACTCTATGATCTTGAATAAATTGCTTAATATGTCCAAGTCTCAATTTTTTCATCCATAAAAGGGGGCTAAAAACTTCTAAGTTTTGGAGTTACTGAGTGAATTAAAAATTAAATTAATGTTATTTAATTTCATAATAATATAAATGAGTTCCTGTATTGGATCATGGTAGCATAATAATCTGATAAAAACCATTCCAGGAAATTTCATATTAAGATTTTGTGGGAGAACATATTAGTTAAATGGTTAAATTATTTAAGTGCACATAATTTATATATAAATATTTACAGTAGTGTTAACATTTGTTTTGATGTCTTACTACCTCACCTAACTGCCACTAAAGTACCTAAGACATTTCACCAATGTCTTTGTTACTTTCATTTGTTAAAATGCTTGAATTTTAAGTGACTTTGTGTATATTTTACAGATTTCATCTTTCTTATTTGACATATCCTTCTCATTCTTTTTCGTTTGTTTGGTTTTTGATAGGGTGCCTGTCTTGCATGCAACTAACCTGGGTTTGATCCCTGGTACTTTATATGGTCACCTGAACCTTGCCAGGAGTAATCCTTAGGCACAGACCAAGGAATAAACCTTGAGCACCACCCAAAAAAACAAAACAAAATAAAACCGAATTGTTTTGTAGGTTTAATTTTGAATCACTTGTAGCTGTATTATGAATAAAGTTGTTATGATCATATGGTTAAGTTTTTTTTTAATAAAAAAATCATTAAACTTACATATAATGGTTTTACCATTTTATATTTCAACATCAGTGTATGGGTGATTCATTTTTTTAGCATCTTTGCCAAACATTTCCTATTGTTATTTTTATTTTAGCAATGATAGATATGTAGTATTTTTCTGACTTTTATTTACATTTTTCAGATAACTAAAGATATTAGGTATTTTGTTAAATTTTTAATTTGAAGGATAATTTTAGGTCACAGCAAAATCAAGCAAAATGTAGATACTCATATATCCCCTTATCCCTTCTCTTTCCATAGTTTTTCCCATTACCAGAAAGTATTTATATGAATTACTGCTTGTGTTAGTATTGATGTACCTACATTGTTCTGTCATTAACACTTAGAGTGAGTAATTATTTAAGGTAAAGTAAATAGATACCATCACTGGTAAAATAGCTCTTGAGTATTTTACCTGTTCTGAGGCTCCTTAGGGTTTTCTATATGCACGTGTAGGCATGTTCTTTATATTTCCAGTTTATTGAGAGCCTTTAGTTATAAAATGGATATTGAAGGTTTTATTATCCTTCAATAATTTAATATCCTTCAATAATTAGATATTGAAGGTTTCAGCATCTATTGCTATGGTTGTGTAAGGTTTATCTTTTTATGTAGTGTCTTTGTTGATTTGTGTATTTAGTGCTGTTCTGTATCCCTTG